GATTCTTGATTGTTTCTAATAATAACTTTAAGAACAGTTACAATTTAGTTAGCACAAACCAATTCCATTTATTACAACTGCAAATACCCCTTATGTCCCTTTTTATTGGTTTCCATGCTAACGGCCTTGCTTTCTTCCTTGCTATGGATAAACTTGTATTTTCTCTATTTCTTTTTATGCTACCTCAATTGTTAGGCCTGCCGACCAGTTGCTAAGCCCATCCACATTCAGCTCTTAGTCTTCAGAGGGAAACTGTGAGCACAGTGAGAATCTCCCAGTGTGCAAGAGGGTCCCTGTGTGCCAGCTACAGCTGGGGCCTCAGCCAACTCCTCTCTCAACAGATTCCCCTCTGCAGCTTCACAGGAAAGGCCAAACACCTCCTTCAGGGACACCTGCACCACACATTTCGCATCTCCATGCCCATACGTGATGTCCCTGTCACAGCTGCGTTACCAGCTTGCTGCTGTGCAGATGCTGCCACCGCCCAAAGCAAGACCCTGTGTCCCTGAAGGGACCCACCCTGCTCTGTGGCCTGGACTGAAGGTGGGTCCCTCCTGCCAGGGCAGGGCCTGACACAGCTCTTCTGTTCCAATAAAGAGGTGGAGCTGTCACCCCAGTGTCTGGCTGGTACCACCAGCTAAGCCCACACAGCACCAGCCCTGGCTGAGCTCCATGTCCAGGAGCAGGCAGGGCTGACCACGGTGTGGGCAGGCAGGAGCCAGGCAGGGGCTGCTGTGACCAGCAGCAGGGCCCCGAGGGGCTGGGGGAGTCTGTGTTGAGTGTCCCTGGGCTGAGGGCACATTTCCTTCAGTGGCATCACCTGGGCCTGGACCTCCTCCAGTGCCATGCCCAGGAAAAGAGGGAACCATCAAGAGCATCTCATGGGACAGAACATGACCAGCAATGTCAGCAGGCAAAACCAAGGTTTTGTTTAGCAATGACCCTTTGATGAAGTCAAAGATTTACAATCAGTCCAGTACAGATTGGAGTACAGATGGGAGAACACTCAGGGGGTACAGCCAAGGCCATGAGGTCACAGCAGTCTCTGGGGTGACAGCAGGCTGAGGTGACAGCAGGCTCTGAGGTCACAGAGGTCCCAGAGCCCCGTGGTTGCACAGCACCACAAGGACCGAGCAGTCAGTCCTTGACCACGACTGTTGTGGCAGCAGCGGTGCTGACATTGGGACAGCGGTGTCAGGACAGTGGTGGCAGCAAGAGCTGCAGGACTGGCAGTGGGCAAGGCACCATGGCCTTTGCTCTGCGCCTCCTCCTCCTGCTCCTCCTGGCAGTGGCCCTGCCTGACAGGGCTGCCCAGGCTGCTCCATGGCAAGCACAGGGAGCAGGTGAGCCCAGGGCCTGGCTTCCCTTTCCTGAGACAGCACTTCCTTCTCCCTGGGAAGCGTTGGGGATGGTTTTCCGCAGGGCTTAAGGGAGGGTTTCTTCTGTGGGAGGGAGAGAGTCCCCAGGGACCCTGCGCTGGTCCTGCTGCCCCTCCAGGAATTTTGCACAGGGCCTGCAAAGAGGGTGGAGAGTGACCAGAGCCAGCCTAGAGCTCCCCAGGCCCCTCTGCAGCTTTGGCCATGTCCATTGACATGTGGCTCCCATGGCCTTACCTGACCCCCTTGCAGTGCCCAGTTCCCTAAGGCAGAAGGGCATCCCAGCTCCCCATGGAATGGTTCTGATCTGTGCTCCCTTCTAGACTGGGATCGTGACATGGAGCATCTGGAAGCCCTGGGACATGACGGTTTGATTCCCATGGAAAATGCTGGAGGCAAGTTCTCAATGTCCATTTCTGCACAGTATAATCAGTGTCAATGTGGCACGAATTGAACTCACTCACGTGCCACTTCACTTAAGAATCTGAAGGCTGATGGATTCTGGAACCCTCGCTCTGCTCCCTTCTGGAGCCCTGAGTGATCCCACAGCATTGCTGTCAGTGGGAGGAAGGAGCATTTAGCTGTCAATCTCTTCCCATGTGCAATTCCAGTGTCTCCTTCCGTGTGCTCTGTGCAGCCACAGAGAAGAGCAGAGAGGAAGGGGCCGGGCCCAGGGCTGTGCCCCGGGGCTGTGCCTCGTGTGGCTCCTTTGCCAGCCCCAGGGAGCCTGAGGATCTCCTACAGTGCCATGGGAACTCTTCTGTCCTGCCTTTCTTTGCAGCCAAGCCTCTTGGTGAAGGTGATCTGGCTTCTCAACCCACATCCAGGACTGAGGCTCTGGGAGATGGTGAGGGTAGGTCAAGGCCTGTCCCCCTGGGAGAGCTGCCAGCTCAGGGCCCAGAGCTCGGCCAGGGCAGCATCGCTGCAGGTGCCAGGACAGAGCCATGCACATGTGTGCCCTCACCCTGCATGATCCCCTCACTGCTCCTGCGGCTCAGTGCTGCCTGTGCAGATCAGCAGACATGACTGAAGCTTCTGTGGCTGTTGAGTTACAGGTGTGTCTGCAGGGAGGACTTTCCAGGCTCCTGGGCTGGATGCTGCACGCAAGCCCAGCTCCCGTCGCAGGGGTGAGTATTGTGTCCTTGCTGATCCCACAAGCTGAACCCTGATTTTGTAGGATCCATTCCTGGGAAATGGATATATATTTTTTTTATAAGGTCCTCCAAGAGAAAAGAACAAAGCTACAGGACACCGGAAACCCCATGAGCCATCCATGCTCAATACCATGCAGCAAATGCTGAAGGAAATGCTGCAGGGAGGACAAGGTGGGTCCATGTCCCTCAGCCTTCTCCTGACACTCAGCAGCTGGGGGCTTTCTCTGCACATCAGGACACGCCGTGCCCTGCACAGCAGGAAGGGATCCATGGCAGCCTTGCTGCCCCGCTGCTGCTTTCATGGCTTGCAGGGCTGTTTCCCAGCCTGGCCTGGCTGCAGCTTCTCCCCAGCCTCTGCAGGAAGGCATTTGGCATCAGCTGACAGGATTCCCAAACTGCACCATGGGCCATGCACACCCTGAGATCCCCTGAAATTTCCTGGTCTTGGGGTAGATGAGGTTCAGGGGCTGTTTGGAGGAGGGAGGGCTCTGGCCAATCCCATAAGTTTATATGATTTCCTAATCCTTATCCATGACCTCGACTAGTATCGCATCATGATGACACCACTTCCCTGAAAAGGGAATGGTTCCATTGATCCAGCTGTGGCTTTTCCTTCCTTCAGAGATGAATCAAAAGGCTGTGCTGAAGGTGCCATTTCCCAGAGGAAGCAGTGGCTCATGGGCAGCCTCTGCTACAGGAAGTGAGGCCATGCCAGGCACAGTCCCAGGAGGTAATTGCTGGGCCTCTGGGCCTGAGCCCTGCTGAGGCTTGAGCTGTAAATCTCTGCTCCTTGGCAGTGCCTGCCTTTCAGGGATGTTGCACAGAGCATGGAAAAGGTGTTGAGAGTGTCCAGGGCCAGCCCAGAGCTGCCCAGGCCCCTCTGCAGCTTTGGCCATGTCCATTGACATCTGGCTCCCACGGCCTTCCCCGACCCCCTTGCAGTGCCCACTTCCCTAAGGCAGAAGGGGATCCCAGCTCACCATGGAATGGTTCTGATCTGTGCTCCCTTCTAGATTGGGATGGTGACATGGAGCATCTGAAAGCCCTGGCACATAATGGTTTGAGACCTATGGAGAATGCTGGAGGCAAGTTGTCAATGTCCCTTTCTGCACAGAATTATCAGTGTGAGTGTGGGAAGAGCTCACTCTCATGCCATTTCCCTTAAGAGTCTGAAGGTTGATGGATTCTGGAAACTTTGCCCCACTCCCTTCTGGAGTCCTGAGTGATCCCACAGCATTACTGTCAGTGGGAGGAAGGAGCATTTAGCTGTTAATCTCTTGCCATGTGCAATGCCAATGTCTCCTGTGGCTCTGTGCAGCCACAGAGAAGAGCAGAGAGGAAGGGACCAGGCCCAGGGCTGTGCCCCAGGGCTGTGCCGTGTGTGGCTCCTTTGCCAGCCCCAGGGAGCCTGAGCTGCTCCCATTGCTGCCGCCAAGCCCTGGCCCTGCCTGGGGCTCAGTTCAGAGCTGCTGGCAGCTCCAGGGAGTCCTTTCTCCTTTCTCCCCTGACTGTCATGCAAGGGGCTCCTTCCGTCCCACTGTGGGGACACTGCAGGCATGTGGTCCCCCTGCTCCTGCTCCTGAGTGGAAGGCAGAGAGGAGGGAGTGCCTTGGAGGGCACCAGGAACCCAGGTGCACTCACTGCCACTCTGGACTGAAGGAGAAATGGAACTACTTTCCATTAAGGTCCTCCTAGATGGAAGAACAAAGAGATAGAAGACAAGAAATCCCTGGAGGCATCCCAACTTTTGGACAAGATGCTGAGTGATCTGGAGAGACGCCGTGGTGGGTTCAGGTCCCTCAGCCTTCTCCTGACACTCAGCAGCCAGGGGCTTTCTCTGCACATTAGGACAAGCCGTGCCCGGCACAGCAGGAAGGGATCCATGGCAGCCTTGCTGCCCTGCTGCTGCTTTCATGTCCTGCAGGGCTGTTTCCCAGCCTGGCCTGGCTGCAGCTTCTCCCCAGCCTCTGCAGGAAGGCATTTGGCATCAGCTGACAGGGAGCCCAAACTGCACCATGGGCCATGCACACCCTGAGATCCCCTGCAATTTCTGTCTTGGGCTAGATCAGGTGTAGGGACTGTTTGGAGGAGGGAGGGCCCTGGCCCAGCCCCAATAACCTGGGTATTTTCCTGACCCTTATCCATGAGTTTGACAACTATTGCCTCCTGAAGATACCACCTCCCCTAATGGCGAACAGTTCTATCTTATCCAGCTGTCCTTTTTCCTTTCTCAAGTGCTGGAGCAGATGTTTGTGCAGATGATGGCATATGCTAGAGGAAGGAATGGCCCTGTGCCAGCTCCTGATGCAGGAAAGGAGGAGATGCCAGGCCCAGGCACAGGAGGTAATTGCTGTGCTGGGCTCTCCCTCAGCAGGGCTGTGTGCCAGCAGCTCTTCCCTCAGGGCCTGCATGGCCCGGCAGCAGCCAAAGCTGGAGGTGCCGCGGCTTCCAGGCCTCTGGAGCTCATTCCCAGCCCCTGGGAATCGGGACTTGTGCACCAACATCTCTTCCCCAGCAGCTGCTCCTGGAGCTGCCCCTAAGCATCCAGAGACCCAAGACACAGCAGCAGCCCCAAGTGGGAGCCCTGCCGTGAGCCCAGGGCCACAGCCAGCCCTGGCTCCCAACTGGGCAAGGGCTGCACTGGCCCCTTAAAGGGCCTGGCTCTGTCCCCTTGGGCTGGGGGAGCTGTCATGGAGCAGGGAGGGTCAGGGGTGGCTGTGGCTGCTCAGGGATGGGTTTGGCCCGTGTCCCTGGAAGGAGCCACTGCCAAAGCAGCTGTGCAGTCCCAGGCTCTGCTCTCGGCCTTCTGGGCTTTGTTGGGTGGCACAGCCTGTGCCAAGGGGTGGCAAGGTGCCTGCAGGCCCCAGCTCTGGGGGAAACAGAGAATGTCCTGGCCATATCCACCGTGCTGCCAGCTCAGCAAGGGAGCACAGCACAGGCTCACGCTGCCCATTGCTCCCACAGATGCGCTTGGCAAGTCCAGTATAAATGCTGAGAAGCCACCGAGCACCCCAAGAGAGTTCTGCCCGCAGGATGTGCGCAAGTCCTGCATGATAGGCACAGTAGTGACACTGTTCACAGTGCCACTTTCCATGGTCCTGTGCTATGTTGGATTCCGGTGGTGGAAGGACAAGAAACGGTAAGTTGTTGTTCATCTCCATCCTCCAGCTTCTTGAAAGGCTGTTCATGGTCAGGAAACATTCCCAGTGAGGCTGCTGTGCACTTGTGGGTAGTCAGTGGTTGCCCAAATAACTCTGAGAGGTCTGCAGCTGCCCAGGCCTTTCATTGGCCTCTTAATTGCTGGGCCTTGTCCTGGGGAGCCTGCTGGGGCTGCAGCCAGTGGTGGCTCCCACTGAGGCTGCTTGGCCAAGAGCAGCCCCAGGAGCAGCGGGGCAGAGGCAAAGCAAGGTGGGCAGGAGAAAGAGCAGGGACGAGATTGCCCTTGAAAGGCAGAGGTGCTCTGGGGCCCACTCCTGGCCAGGGACCCTGCCCAGAGCCATCCCCTGCTCGCCGGGGCCTTGAGGGGCAGCTGTCCAGCTGGGCCAAGCTGTGCCAGCAGCTCCAGCCGTGCTGGGGAGCCTTGGCCGCTCTGGGCCCTGCTGTGCAGGAGGGTCCCTGTGTGCCCATGGCAGCTGGGGGCCTCAGCCACCTCCTCTCTCCACAGTCACCCTGCTGCAGCTCCAGCATACCAGCCAAGAAGGTGTGACTCTCCCTTGCCCCCAGGGAGCCCAGAGACTGCCTCGCTTGTCAGCTCTCAGATGTGGCCTCAGAAGCAGGAGCTGACCTGGAAAGCAGAGCACCAGCACTCCGTGCCTCCCCCACGGCCCCCCAGCCCAGCTGTGAAGAGGAAGCCCCCTGAGATCCCCCCACCTCCTCCCCTCCCAAGCCGGCCACCCTGGTCCAGCTAGGACTGCAAGTGGGACAGCCATGGCAGGGCTTGGGCCACCAGCAGCTTGGGGCATCTGCTCTTGGCTTCAAATAACACATTACCTGTGGGTAACAGCCAGAGGAACTTTTCCTACTCTTACCTTCAACGGGAAGGGCTGAAGATTCTTCCCATGCCCTGTCTTATCCCTTGCTCTTTTGATTTTCATGCAGCTGGGTGCTGACTGAACCTTTTCGAAGAACTTTATTTACACTTCATGTTTTACCCCACCTACCAAGGAAAAAAAAAAAATAAAAGTTTTTTTTTCAGTTTAGACTTCATTTTTAGTGTGGTTGGACCACTCAAATTTCGAGCAATTAATTTTCCATGGTGCCTCTTCCCTTTTCCTTCCTATCTACCAAAAGTTCATCTGGACATGAAAATCAACAGAATTACTGAGATTCACCTCAAAGCCCAGAGGAGAATCTCACACAAGATGCCTGTATGTATGTTGTGCCCTGTATACTGCACAACAAGAATTATTCAGAGGAAAATACCATGTCAGCTGAGGCTCCTGGAACTCCCAGAATCTTGAGCCTGCAGAGGAGGCAAACAGCCCTGGCAGTGGCTGAGGGGAATTCTCCTCAGACTCCTCAGAAAGTGTGTCACTTCAAGAGGGGAAAGCTTTTAAACCTTAGCCTTACCTTCCTCCTGTGCTAAAATATAAGGCTCCTCCTGAGAAAATACTGAGCTACAAACTATTCTCCATTCCTCAACAAAGCTACTCAGGTGCTCAACTTAAAGAGCAAAACTAAATGTGGTCAGAAATTTCCCATCAAAGCCCATTTGCAGAGAAACCCCACCATACGTGAGCAAATATTTATTAGCACTTCAGTTCACTCAAAATATTGCCCCTTTTTTTTCCCAGAGAGAATATTAGAACCATTTGCTCTTGACAGGACTCCTTGGATGGCCCCCAGACCTGGCTCCTCACCACGCCTTGCCTGGGCTGCTCATGCAGCCAGGCAGCACCACCTGACTTTGCCAGCCTGTTCAGACCTTGGGTACGGCTGGTGCCACAGTCCCCTCTGGTGCCACAATCCCCTCTGGTGCCACAATCCCCTCTGGTGCCACGGTCCCCTCCTGGCTCGTGGTGTGTCCCTGCTGCTGGAGGAGCCCTGCTCGTGCTGCTGCCTGCATTCAACAAGGCTGGTGCTACTCCCCAGCCGAAAAGAGACTAAAGGCACTGCTTTGGGCAGCTCGTTGGAAGGAGTTTAACACTTCCTCATCTCTATCACAGACCTCCTAAAACCTGTAACTTCTCTTGTTCTTTTTTTTCTCTTACTTCTTCTATACTTCTTCTGTGTTTTTCTTTCCTCACAGATTTCTCAGTCCCCTTTGGGCTGAGCTCCTTTGGGATCCTCCCTCGTGGGCAGTCCCACTTATCTCAGTTCTCTGGGTTTGAAGAACAACTCCCAAGCTCATTAAAATCTTGTTTCTTGTGTTTATTAGAAGGTTATTACAAAACTTGGCAGGTCTCTCCAGACTATCTGCAAAAGCTCAATTCACCACAACCTGGCTCATTTTGCTCTGATGGTACAAAATGGCCCCGAACCACGCGGCTGCCTCATTTTTATATCTATTTTTAACCCTGTTAACTACGGACACGTGTATTGTTTTTCTATTTTAACAACTAAGTTTTCTATATCTACTTACATAACTAAAACTGCAACTAACTTTCAACCAGTCATTCTTTGTGTTCCCAAAAACTGCAGAATCATGGAGAAGAAGGAAGAAGAAGAGCTAAAAACCGCACCTTTCTTCCTCCATCTTTACTCCATGTATTAAACCCCTCTAAAATCTGTATTTTTCACCTCAGTGGCATACTAACATTCTACTACTATCTACTTAATTTTTTATAAATCCTGGTTTACCCAGGGATATTTGGAAGCCTTTCTGTCACTGGCAAATAGGATTGATACTGTTTTGGAGAATAGGACAAATAGAGAAATGTCTCTCCATTTCTGGATTCCTATATCTCCCCCTTCTCTTTGCCAAAAAAACCAACTTTTTTCTTTGATTACTTGTTTTAGAATGGCTTCCCTGACCCTGAATGAGTCAAGCAGATGATGTCTAGACTTGACACATTGGTCAAAGCTCCCCAGATATTTTCTCTCGACTGATTCATGGCAAAACTGTGTTGCATAAGGCAACCAACAAAAGATAAGGCACAAATACAATGGCTAACTGATCTTATTCAACAATCTTATCTCTCGCAAAAGTTCTTAAATTTCTGTATTAAACAACCCTCCCTCACAAAGTCCTCAGTCCATAAATTTTGCACGCTGTTCGTTCAATGTCTAAGATGTTGAATGCTGTTTTCACACTAAATCACGTTTGCGTACTGGTTTCTTGATTTCTGGAGTCTTCGT